GGGGAAAATGCATTGGGCTACATTGTACTTAGCCTTCCAGATGATTTCCGTGTGAGCTAGGTTTGAGAAACGCCTAAGCTCAAATTTGACTTGCATTGGAATCACCTACGGGCTTTCAGATCAGACAGGTGTGGAGCCCAGCTCTAACTGCTAACAAGCTCCCCCTGGAAATGGGTGTTGAGGTTCTGAGACTGCATGGGGAAGCAAGACAAGGGAATCCATCTGTCTCCAACTCACTCAAAACCAACCGCCCTGTAACCTCTCCCATGCTCATTTTTGACTCAGGTATTAATGACAAATAATAGTTTAGTATATGGTTGTTATTGCCTATTTAGGTCTGAAGAGGGACCTTAGTGTGAAGATCGGGGAGTTCCATCTCTCATCTGGAGTTATTAATCCTATTTCATTTACCAAGTGTGATGGTTAATTTTGGATGTTAACCTGACTAGATTAATTCTCATTTGGTAAATCCTTAATTTGGAGTACAGCTACGAGGACTGCTCTGGGTAGAACTAGTATTTGAATCAGTGGACTGGATATAGAAGTCCTCCCTCACCCAATGCAAGTGAGCACCATCCATTCTACTAATGAATTGGAGAATGCAAAAAAGACAGATGAGTGATACATTTGCATTTCTCTCTAACTCTCCCCTTAATGAGCTTACTGCCTCTCCTCCTCATTCTCGTTTGTCCTCCTGTTCATTACTCAGTCCCTTCTTCCCACTCTTCCTGAAAAGCTGGCACATCCATCTCCTGTCCTTTAACACCAGACCTTCATGTTCTCTGTCCCCTGACCTCAAACTCAGCTTTAACATCAGTGTCTCTAGTTCCCAGGCCTTTGAACCTGAACAAACAATATTACCCACTTCCCTAATTCTTTAGCTTGAAAATGGACTTCAGGGAGACCATCCAGCCTCCATAGTTGTGTAAGCTATTTGCCATAGCAAATACCTTCTCATTTATCTGTATATATGCATACAGATGCCGTTGATTCTGTTTTGAGGAAGAACCCTGCTTAACACCCAGATATTAGATTTTGTAAAAATGAGAACTACATGTGCCAAAGATCCAAAATTGAACTGGCTAGAATTATGTACCACCAAGAAACAAAACAAAACTACTTATGGTGGTGTAGGTCTGCAACCCAGAACTCAGAAGGTGGAGGCAAGGAGATTAGAGGTTCAAGATCAACTTTGGTTACATGGTAATATAGTGAGTTCAATGCCAATCTAGACTACATGACACAAAAAACAAACACAGCTATTATTTCTTCCTACCTATTCATTTAATGGTACCACATTTGCAACTTAAAGTTGCACCAATGCACATTGTTAAATAGTTCTAATTAGGGCTTTCCTCTATCTGGAGACACAAGTCTTGTCATAAGTCCCTATTCAAAAACTAGATAGTATTGCAAGTATCACATTACCATGAATTCTCTGCAAACAATTATGTGGGTAGTTTTCAAAATACCAAGGTCCTGTTCCAATAAGAAAAAAAATATATCAGGATAAGTGGCATGGGCCAGACACTGAGATTGTCAAAGCCTCGATTATTGCAAAGTGTGGACAAAGTTAAGATACACTAACAAAAAGGGCTTCAGGTCCAGCCTTAATGTTTTTCTTAAGAGTTTATGATTGTAAAAGAGGCAGATCCTAGTCTCACCCACAGAGAAACCAAATATCCTCTAGCCTGTACGACAGAAGACAAAGAGGGAAATTAAGAAACCTGTCTTAGAGAACTCAGGAACACCAAAATCTAAGGACAATAATGCTACTATGCTACAGTGGTCATCTGTAAAGTCCTTCTAAGGTTTGTCCTCCACCTTTTCATGGCTTGGAGGTGGTGCTGGGAAGAGGTGAGGCATAGCAGGGGGACCTTAGGTTACTTAAGGCATGCCCTGAGTGGGGATGCCGGGCACAGCCCATTACTCTTAGTAACTCTTCATTTCCATTGCTTGCTGAGGCGAGGCTTTGCTGTGCTTCAGAAGATGTGGTACCCTGCCACATGCCTGAAGTGGGGCCAGGCTGTCATGAATGCTAACTGCCAAAATTGTTAGCCAAGACAAACCTTATCCTTTCGGGAGCTGTCTTATCTTAAGTATTTGTTGTAGTGGCAAAAAGTTAATGACAGTTAACAGTTGAAATACCTGAATTGACCCACGGGAGGAAAGGTATGACTTTTGTGCCATCTGGTGACTCCTAGAGTCTTAACCAGTTTTTATGATAAACCACTGATCATTGGGCTTTGAACTAGTGTACCACATTTCAAGTGGATAGCGTCATCAGTTTCCTTACACATGTAATGCTTTACATGTGTAAGAAGAAAATAATAGTGGGGTGGTGGTGGCCTATGCCTTTAATCCCAGCATTCAGAAGGCAGAGGTAGGTGGATCTCCATGAGTTCAAAGCCAGCCTTGTCTACAAGGTGAGTTCCAGGACAACCAGAGCTACACAGAGAGACCCTATCTCAAAAAACAAGACAAAACAACAGAGAAAGAGAGATAGTATATACTTTTAAAAACATAGTATGAGAACATATAAAATATGCAAAATATGTACTCTAAGTGTACAATATATGAAAATCATTATTTGTCTATCAAGACTTGCTAAATACTTTTTTCCATTTCCATTGGAAATAAATAATATGGATACACCCTAAAACTATGAGGCTTATTAATTGAGTCTGAAAAGAAAGCTAGTAATGCACCAAGAACCTTACATATTTGTGATTAGTTTTTCGTGGGATAATTAAATTAGACAAAATAAAGTCAAGCATCTTTGAATGTTCTTACATCAATCCCTTGTTTGGGAAGGCATCACATCCTTTCCCACAGCACACTATCCAGAGCAGCCGTGGCAGGAGAAGGCACCTGCCCACGTTTGTTACTGTGGCTTCAGGGAAATAAGAAGCTAGAAGAGGCAGTGAGCCTGGGCTTAGGTGGGTCCTGGGATGTCTTCCATCCACATCATTTCTGAGTCCAAAGGAAAGCTTCATAACAGACAGTGCTGCTGCCTCCTAGATACCTAATTTCAGGGTGATGATCTCCCAGGTGCTCCTGTATAAACTTCCCTGGAAAGTCACCTGGGGCCTTTGGCTGCTCCTTTCTTGGGAATTTCTCCTCCCATCATGGGAAAGGGTCTCTTACCTCGAAGAGCTCACAGCCTCATCTGAAGCCTTTGGAGCCGACACAGATGGCCCAGCGTTTGCTAATGGGTTAGCAGGGCTGACACTTTACCTGAAACTCCATCTGCTTGCATCTATTGTGCTAGTGGCTCTTTTCTGAGCCCATTCCTTTTGGAAAGCCATTTATACACACTCCCTAAGTTTGGGGTTCTTTCCAGAGAGTTCCACCTATGAGACACACTGCTCTCACTTCTGAAGTTCTCTACACCTCTAAGACCATCTTATCTCCCCACCTCTGCAGACCCGCACCCTCTGGACATCAAAGAACAGACACCAGTTTGCTCTCGCTGTCTCCACCCATCCCCTCCAAGGCTGTTGAGGGAACAGATAAGGCAGCTTGAACTTGTTTACCTCTGCATAAAATACCAGTGCACGGGAATCAGAGCAGGAGTCAGGCAGAGGACCTGACTCATCTCAGGGTGACCTGGTCAGAGTAGGAGGGTCAGTCAGCTCTTCTACTGACTAAGCAAAAAGTACAGGGTGCTGGCTCGTCAGCCTGGGTGTCCTTGAATGAGGCTTCTATAATCCTGGGCATCTTGAATACAGAAAGACTCTCAGGCAGAGGGTGGATGTGTCCCAGTAATTTCTCCTCACTCCCCAGCCTCCTGCAACTAAGCTGGTGTTGGACAGCTGCTGCCTCCATCTTTGTTCCAACTTGGGAGATGCATAGCTATCGGCTGAGTCCCATCGCCTTTCTGGGTCTCAGTAGACACTCAGTGGTGGGCAAGCTCCTAGTCAAGAAGGGCTAAGGGGAATCACTCTTTTTATTTTTTATTTCTTTTCTGGTTGATTTATCCTTATTTTGACACCTCTGTCTTGTCTCATCTGTAATCTCTATATCCCTCTACACAGCACATACTTCCAGTGCTGCTCCTCTGAAATTTGAAGGACGGTATATATATATATATATAGATATATATATCTATATATATATATATATATATATATACGTATATGTATATATACATACATACATACATACATACACACACACACACACACACACACACACACACACATTTCTGTATTAATACTCCTGGCTAACAAGAGTATGTGTTTTTTCTCATACTGATAAGTTCTCCAATGGAAAGGGAGTGTCTTATAATTCAAATCATTTCTGATACTAATTGGAGTTAAGCATGTGTCCCACGCAGGTTTAGAGCTAATTTCCCAAAAATTTTCCCTGACTTTGGATGCCGTTTGGATGAGTGACTTCGGATATCATTCACTAGCAGTAGGCTCCCAGGCTACCTGCAACTTGAGCTGGGGGCAGCTGCCAGTTAGAGGTGTCGTGATTTTTTCTTCACACTGGTGCATTCACCAGAGTAGCCCATACGATTCCGGAAAGCACTGCACTTGTTACCTGTTTGGACTTTTCCATTATATTTGGTGTGTGTTTGCCAGTTATGTGTGTGAGTGTACATACGTGTATGTGTGTGTATGAGTGTGTAGGTGAAGTGTTTGTGTGAGTGTGTGTATGTGTGTATATACATGTGTATACGTGTGTGTGGATATGGGTATGAGTGGTGTGTGTGTGTCTGTATGTGTGTAGTGTGTATGTATATGAGTGGTGTGTGTATCTCCTGATTGCCCAGGCAGTTGTGGATCATAAATTTTGTGATGACAAAAAGGCTCAACATTCCTGCCAGGATTAATTCAACAGCCCCTGTCTACTCTCTGGAGGTCAGAGCATGAGGCTGAAAGTTTCAAGCTTGTTGATCACACGGGCGTTTCTGGCAGCCAGTTCCCATCTTCAGGTGTTTAGGAGCCCCCTCGTTAGTAAAAGGACACATGGTAAGAATCTAAGGACAGACATGAAGGCAAAAAATATTTCTTATTATACATTACAATCTTAAGGTTTTCTGGGGGTCTTGGATCTCCTGCAGCCTCTCATCAACTTTTAAGTAAGTGAAAACCTAAGATGAATTGTTCTTAAATCTGGGGATACAGAGAGGTAGTGACATAAGGTATGAGCTAGTGATGGATGTGGATGCTGTGCCTTAAGCACTAATCTACTCAGAGATTTATGGGAATTTATAACATACAGACAGACAGACACAGACAGACACACACATGGTAAAAATTACATAGTACATAGTAACACATTATTTCTGATAAGTATAAAATAAAACCACAATTTTATGCTAGGACTACTGTGGACTGTCTCCTAATACTTGTATCAAGCCATTACCAATATTCTATGCATATTTTTGATTTTTTGAGACAGAGTTTCTCTGTGAAACAGTCCTGACAATCCTGGCACTCACTTTGTAGACCAGGCTGGCCTCAGACTCAGAGATCCATCCACCTGCCTCTGCCTCCCCAGTACTGGGATCAGAACTGGGATTAAAGGCATGTGCCATCATTGCCCAGTTAAAATTATTATAGTGAACATAACCACAAAGGTAATGCCATTAGGAGGTGGCCTTTTGAGGGTCATTTGATGAGGGTGGAGCCTCAGGGAGTTTTTGCCTTTCTTACCAAGTGACTCACAGTGAGGCCTCAACAGTCAGTGACCTAAAGGAAACCCCTCGCTAGGCTTTGCCTGGTACCCTGATCTCAAATTGTGAGAAGTATTGTTTGTCAGCCACACCATCTGTGGCATTTGGTTATAGTAGCCCAAAGAACCTAAGAAATACCCAGCATACAGCTGGCACCATGCCCTGGACCCAGATTTTAGTAGGGATCCATGAAAGTGATTTTCTATTTTAAAACCAGGAAAAAAAATGGAATTTTTAATTGAGAAATGTGTTTTAACATACAATATTAATGTGTTTGTCTTTATATCAATGTAGGCTTGTATGTGGGCCTTACATGATTGTCTTTTAGAAAGTAGAAATTAGCCTGTGAAGGCATAAGTGCCATTGGTATACAGCAGTCCTGAGGCAGCCCTGCCCTCAGAGACAGACCTCCAAGATCTGGGGGAAACCTCTTGTGTTTTAGACGTGATACTCTATCAGTTGGCGATGTTTGAGAATGGAGTTCTTCCGAGTAAAGGAATGTTAAATGTTAGAATCCCTTCCTTCTTGAAAGGCATTGGATATATTTGTGAACAGGTTTCTGCTGGCCACCCCTGCAGATGTCAGTGTCACAAACCCCTCCCCCAGTACCACAACAGATACTTGTGAAAAGCGACAGACACCTCACCAGAGTCTGGGGACTGAGTTATAGAATCCTAGAGCTTAGAGCCAGTTGGTTGGACCGCCTGGGCCCAACCCTCCACCAACCCTCCACTAAGTCCTCGCTCGGCCTTAGTGTGGGCACATCTGGACACGGAACTCAGAGGCTTAAAACCGTTTTTCACTGTGTGGTCATCGTCTAAAGAGGCTGAGATGGTGAGAAAATGCAGAGGCTCAGGCTGTGGTGGGGACAGCAGGAGACTCTCAGAATGAGTGAGTGTACCACGCGACATCCCAGCCTGCTGTGATAGTGGTTGATTCACACACCCTGGGCACTGCCCACAAGGATCATTGTTGTCTCTTCCTCTTGGGGGGTTTGTTCCAGTCCGTCGTCTATCACCTTGTGGAGAGCGCTGTAGTGTTCACGGTCTTGGTGGAATGAATGTAGCTCCGAAGCAGCCTCCCAGGCAGCAAAAGATGGCATGGGAAAGGGATCCGGCCTCTTGTTTTCAAAAAAGCATTTCAGGTTCCTCTCACTCAGCTTGTTGGCACATTCCAGGAGTTTGTTTTCCAATTGCTCCTTCTCCCTTTGTGCGTATGTCTTCCAAAAACTCAGCTGCAGATAGCTGACTTTAGATTTGCAGCGTGCATAGCAAGTGGTCAGCAGAGAGAAAAAGGATGCTGAGCAAATCAGGCACCACCCTAGAATCTTAGGGAGAAAGAGATATTGAGGGCACAGGAAAGCAAAATGGCATCTCAGAGAGCTGGGGAATATTACTGGAGAGTATGTAACCACCTTAGTACCACAGTCATTAGCTACCATCTCATTTGAAATGATTCATCTGTAAAGGCTTTTTTGACAGCCAAAATAAAGTTGTTTCAATATCCACTCCCCTACTCAACGTTGTTGCTATGCAAAGCAATAACCGGAAGGCTGAGAAACGGAAATAGTGACTACCCAATAACTTACTACAAAAGCACGTGCCATGCTATTACTAGAAGGAAGAATTCTTTCTCCCATCCAAGTACTAACCAGGACAGACACTGCTTAGCTTCCGAGATCAGACAAGATCGGGCGTGTTAAGGGTGGTATGGCCATAGACAAGAGAATTCTTTCTCATGGATTATGGTGGTCTTTTGAAGGAATGAGTGGTTTGTTAGCCAGATGTCCAGGCATTCATCACCTGCATTCACACACTCCTGACCAAGTTTTCCCATGGGACTTGTTGTGTAGAGAGCTGCAGCCACTCTATGGATCCCAAAATTTATTGCTCACAGTAAAGAAAAAAAGGACATAATACAGTAATGCACAGAAATGTTAAGAATTTCAAACCTTTCTAAATGTTGAGAGAGGGGAAAAAAGGGGAGAGGGTCACTTCAAACTTGGAGAATTATTTGTTCTTAATTTCTAAAATTAGAAAAAGCAAACTCTTTTCTACATGTGAATGATTCTATTGGGGCTTTAACGTTAAAAGCAAAAGTCTGTAGTTAACACATCTTCTAAATTTCATTGTTCTGACTTAACTTTTCATAATTTGAATTCATTTTAGATTTGAGCAACTACCAGATTTCTTGAAAGTATCTCTTTGTTTCAGTTCAAAGGATCCTTAGCAGATGGGTTCCACTCAGATCATAAGAGAGCCAAAATTAGCTTTAACCCAGTGGTTGCCAAACTCTGGATCAGGAGTGGGGTTACTGGAAGGGTCTCAGCCTACAGAAGTGCCATGTCTGAGTTGGCATTCCTCAGGCTGAACTATCTTCTCTACCTACATATCTTCTCACTGTGGGTATCTATTGTGAAGTTACAGTTACCCATCTCTGAAGTTATTTGGGGGGGAGCCCAAAAAAATGATGCTGGGCAAGAAGCTCATGAGTTCCACCTGTTTGCAAGCATCTCTTTCTGCTCTGTGATAACAAGTGAGGCCGTGTGAGGGTCTCCTGCTCTCCTTCAGTCACCGGTGGGCTTGTGGCTCACTCCCTCACACCTTCCTTTCCTTCAGTACCCATTCTTCCTTGTGACTGGGCCTCCTGTGTAGAAGGGACCCACCTCTACCTGAGCTGATCCTGATGAGTTAGACTCTATCTGATCATCTTCAGATCCTCTGCTGTTTCATGCACAGGGTTAGCATTGAACGTTTCTTACCCGACTGCTGAGTCTGCTCTCCTCCCAGACTCACAACACTTAGAATTCCAACCAGAGTGCAGTGACTGTGCCTGGCCCAGCCCCTAGCTGTATCATATTTGTCTCTTTCCCCAAACCCTGCCCGTTTTCTCCTTACCTCGGGATACTTAATACTTTTCTCGAAGCTTTATGCCTCTTTATGTCCATTATCTCTAAATAACTTTCCACAGTAGGTGTCACCGTCTCCCACTGTGAGAAAGCTGGGGTTCAGCATTCTGTATCACAGAGCTGGGGATTCAAAACCAGCTGACTCCAGGGCTGAGCTCTTCCCACTACTCCCTCCGTTCCACCATCCTGAAGAGTCACCCAGCTGTGTTTCTTGTTCCTCTGCCCCACCCATGAATGAATGCACTTTTCCACCTCCGCCCACATGCCCAATTATTGTTTTGGACCGTGTGATGCCTGCTGCCATCTGAACCTCATGGCCAGCTATTGCTACATCTCCCCTCATCCACATCTCTCCAGCATCCTCCTGCCCGCCTCAGCCCCCAGTCCTTATTCTGCTGAAAAGTTAACAAGTCACTGTGGCCAATCTAAGGTATAACCAGATGTGCCTATTTTATTTGGGCTTATATTTAAAGAAGAGTTTACACCATGATGAGTGTTTGCAGTTGGCACTGGCTGAATGGAGCCTGGTACCTGCCTGCGGAGGTAACCCATGTGTCATTTACACTATCATAACATCAGTAATTAATACCTTCCTTCAACAAAAGATGGAAGGCGCTCGGGAGCCTGACGTGTCCTGTCTAACCTATGCTTTGTGCATTAAACAAAGGAGTTTATTTAGGGACATTCTTTGGCTTATTAGTTTTTATTATGAATATGATTTTATTATCAACAATGTTAGATGTCGGGGGGCCAACTTTGCTTTGATGAGTTTGTTGTAGGGGAAATTCTTTCTAAAAAGGTAAAATTACAGCGTGTGTGCCTTCATCCAGAAACCAACCGTCTTCCTGAGAAATGATCTACTCCTACCTACTGCCTTTTTTTTTTTTTTTTTTTTTTTGGCCTAGGAAATAAGAAACCAACTTCATCTCAGGGCCAGGCCAGGGCTCTGCGTCTTGTGTCGAGATCTGTGTTCATATACATGGCAAGATGACAAGTTACTTCCTTGTACTGATTAGTTGGAACTATAAATTACTTCTCTCAAGTAAAACGATGCCCCAAACCAAACTCTGAGCTTCTAAAGTGTGTCGAGAACTTCTTGGGCTCTACATCACTCAGGGTAAAGGCCATGCTCCCTCTAGGGGACGTGGTCACTCTTCACCAAGGCCATTTAAAGATGGCTCAGTCGCACTTCATCTGGGAACCTCCCCATCCAGCAGCATGTGTGCACACAAGTAGCAGCGGCCACGGTGGTCACTCAAGGAAATCCCTACCCTAGTTGCACCACATGCTGCTTTGAGAAGTAGTAGCTGATTTGGTTCATCTGTATTTCGATGGATGAAGAATATGTGACTGTGTTTTTTGAGAAAGCAGCTTGCAACTTGACAATCGATAGAAGGCAGGAATGCTTAATTACAGCTCAGGGTTAGCATACAGTGTGTGATTTTGGTGGCTTTGCGTTCTGAATTATTTACAAAGTCAACCCAGGGAGAGGGTTTTGAGCACTTAAGTATTCGCATATGCATAACCCAGTGGGTATTTTCTTTTTGGAAATGGAGACGACAGGATCCAATCAGCAATTTTACTGAGCCATCCTGCCCCTAAAAAGCTGTCTTAATGCTACATCGTGTTCCAGTTTCTACTTAGTGTCAGAATGTTCTGGCGAGACTCAGACTCTGGCCTGGCTGACAGGAAGACAGTAGGGAATCTCCGAGCTCACAGTGGGAGCAAAGAGTCAGTCACTTTTGTCCTTACCTGAGACTGGGCTTGCAGGGACAGCTTCACCTCCTCATTGTCGGTGGGCGTCATGCTGCTTCTGCCACAGGACACTTTGTACAGCTCTTCTCGGCACTCTTTGGGCTTGCCCTTGCAAATCAGCTCCAAAAGCCCCGTGCTTCTTGTCCCGCTCATAGCGCATTCGTAAAACGTCCCATTAAGCAAAGCCACAGAGAGCCACATCACTGGGGCCACCAATGAACTCAATGTGATGTGGCCCAGGACGTAGAAGAAGCGGCAGCAGCGTCTCCTAGGGAAGATTTTCCTGGGGTTTATACAGCAGCCAGTGAAGAGCCTCCACGCCTTGTTATTCAGAAAGAATCCAAGGATCAGTAACACCCAGGCAGGGGCAAAGAGGAAAACCAGCCCATAGGCTGTATTCTCGGTGCTGCAGGGGCACTTAAAGGCCACGAGTGAGAAGAGACGCTCGCTTCCCAGGGTCAGCAAAGCCATGAAGCTGTAGCCGATAGCAGTTTTTTGGTTAAGAAAGAATTTTAAGATGCTCTGAAAAGCATCCATGTTGGAGACACACGAAGAGGGAGAAACGTTTGCCTTGGTTGCAGCACAGCGACTGTGGCTGTGGCGGTAGAGGGTGGGGCACTTTTCAAACAACAGTCCTCCTCTGTCTGCATCCAGCCAGATAAGGAAACAATGTCATTCCCCAGGAATGCTCATTTCCCAACAGCGTGCAGATAATGCCTCCTACTGGTGAATGCTGACACTTGGGGGCAGCCAAAACACCCGACATTAAAAGCAATGTGAGCTGGTTCCTTTTTCATACTCTTTCCGTGCGCTTTTGATTACAAATAGAAAATTTCCAGTGGGGGGTGGGGGATGGGGTGGGCTCAGCACTAGTAGACATGGGTTTCAGCCACTGGACTGGTAGCCAAATTCAGCCTCGAAACGCAGCATTTCATGAGGGGTTTCATGGCTTGCTCTGTGCCCTAAGATTTGGTAGACCAGGTTCTTGCTTCCTAAAAGGGCGTGCATAAAGACTCAAAACAACCGTTTGGGTTTGGGATCATTAGAATCCATAAAGGAAGTCTAGTAACTGAGCTTTTCGAGAAAAATAGAAGTCCTCATTTCTCTTCATGTAGGTTCTTGATTCATATCAGGGTCATTTGGACACAAAGGAAAGCCTTCCAAAGCTGGTGGGCAGTCTACATTAGGGTTTCTTCTGGCCTCTCATCTGCCCGCCAGTAGGTAGATTTATACCTTTCCCGAACCTGAGCAAGGTGTTTCACGCCAAGACACGTTTCCGTCTAAAGTATCTCTGCCCGTTCTGCACTTGACAAAATGCTAGCTCATCCCATGCTCGTGTATTTTAGGTCTAAGCATGGAGTCAAACGCAAATTGGAAACCCATTCAGTAGTCTGAATGCAGTGGTTACGGAAATTGCACTGTGGAGAGACAGGCAGTCCTCCATGAGAGCCTATTAAATGAACCAATGAACAAATGAATGAATTTTTGTACTTCAAATTATAAATAATTTAAGAAAATTGCTTCCATTTCTCTTACGCTGCTCTTAATTTTAAAATTAAGTTAATTAAGGCCTTTGAGTGATGGCGACACATCAAGCTAACAAATTTCCATTAATAAGCTTTGGAAGCTGGGCCTAGGTGTTTTGTGAAAAGAAATTGCCTTGGGTCAGGTTGCTGCCATTTTTACTTCTCTAAATACCAGATTGCACGTTTGTGAAAACTTACACTTCAAAAGAAATAGTGGGGCCAGTGAGATGGGGCTGGTGGGGTGAAGGTAATTTCCGGTAAACCCGAGAATCTGAGTTTTATCCTGAGAACCGGCAACGGTGGGACAGGGGAACCAGCTCCTCCTTGTCCTCTGTGCGTCCTGTACATACGTGCACACAAACAAACAGATACATGTAAACTACTGTTTCAAAAAGAAGTGAGCCCTTGGATGCTTAAGATCTGCTTAAAAACAAGGGCAAAAAGACACAAAAGGCAAGTGAAGGAGAGTGTCTAAGGGTTCTTCTGTTTCTTGTCGCGGGGTTCTTGGAGTCCTACACCGCAGCACACACTTTTGACAACTACGTTATCGTGTACTTACGTCGTTCACACCACTACTCTTTCTCCTACTCGAAGACTCGACATGTACAGTATGATAATTTTGTGTGTCCAAAAACACATGCTTGTGTCTAATCTGCCCCATAGCTCCCTCTTCTCAGACCGGTGCCTGCCTATTATGGAACATACACCCCAGACCCATTGTAACTCTGAATTGTATGGTTTGCCATGATCAGTGTGGTATATGATGCTGTGTTGATTAATAATCTTTTTGTCTCTTGCCATCCTAATCCCTATGTGTTTCCTCCAAGGGTTTTTTTTTGAAATAATACCTTTTATAAACCATATTGTTCCAGAAAGCCTAGCACTTTAGGATATTCTATAAGAATAGAAGGTAATTTAAGAGTCTCCCGTGGCATAAGGCCAATTAACTGCAAAGAAAATTGTGGACACAAGCATTCTGGCTGCAGACTCCGCCTGGCACGTTGATGATGTGCTTGTGACACCTGGGGTTGGGTCATCTGAACATACTTCTGCTTCAGACTAAGGCTGTCACACTCTCTCTTTCTCAGGTTGCTTTCAAGATGTACTTGGGAATCACACCAAGGGTGGCCTGTCACAATTCAAGCAGAAATGTCTTTTCCCTGATTCTAGACAAGAATCCTCTGGCAGAGTTTGTAGAGGAGCTGCCTGCTGGACGATCTGCGCTGTGCTACTGCAACTTACTCTGTGGGGTCATCAGAGGGGCCCTGGAGATGGTAAAGAGCACGTTTCATCTTGTTATGCATGCTAGCCATCAGTGCTGTCCTCAAAGTGCAACAGCCTCAAAGCAATGCACGGTCTCCAAAGATGGACCGGCCAGGACCGAGTGAGGCCTGTCACCTCGGCTTCTTGGGAGGTAAGGTAGGAGGATCAGATATGTAAGTCCAAGGCCAAGTTTGTGCTATCTAAAGCAGATTCAGCCCATTCCTGGACAACTCAGTAGCAGACTTCCTATTAATTAATTAATTCATTCACTTTTTAATGAGATGGAAGACTGAGGATTTTTACCCAAGAGAAAGAAATCTGGGAGAGGGCTCAGCATGTGCTGTTTAGTCTGACAACCCGAATTCAGTCCGGAGAACCCACAGCATGTGTAAAATCCACATCACATGAGGACTGAGCTGACTCCTGGAAGTTGTGACTTTCATTTACACTCTGTGGTACACGTGTCTGTGGAAGCACGCACACACTAAATTAATTAATGAAAAGGAAAGACTCCAGGAGTACGCCACGTGCTTGGGACTGAAGCCTCTCACTTCATTTTCCTGCAGCCTCAGCTGTGGCCTCTGCAGACTTGCTGGTGCTAGACAAACTGGGCACACACACACAGTCTCAGGGTCTTGCAGGCCACGGTGTGGAAGCCTAAGAAAGCTCCTTGCCCCGTAGACCTCCTAGTAGATCTAATCACAGCATGGCCGTCTGAGCTGCCAGCCTCGGTGCTCTATGGGAGGGGAATCGCTAAGGGTGTATGTCACAGGAGGGACAGGCCAATGCAGGTCATTTCTGAGGCTGACTTCCACACCTAAGTTATTCCTTGGTTTAACTGAGACAGTTATTTAGCATCTGTAAGGTGCCCGGGGCTGACCCTACAAAGATGGAAAGACAGAGTTGCTGCCACAAAGAATCTCCTATTTAGTTCAGGAAGTCATGTGCAAACAAGCATGATGAAGGGCTAGAAGGGGGCCTGGAGTAAGGGAAAGTCCACACAGTGTTGATGGAGACTATGAGCTGGCTTTTTGAAGGGACAACAGGAGTTAGATGAAGGCCTTTGTAAAGAGAGCAAGAAAAATAATCATATTTCAGATAGAGGATCAGAATGTTCAAAGGCTCCTCAAAATGAAAGGACCAGAGACTCAAATTAGTTCAGAAGGATTGGCATGAAGACTGGGAGAGGGTTTGCCATGACAAAGTCTTACATGTTTTAATAATAAAAGAGGGGATGCACATGGTAGGCCTAGACATTCAGTCTTCTACACTGAAAGTGTCAGAGTAGATGCAGGTTCGTATTCAAGGGAATGAGAATCTGAATTTTGTGTTCTGGAAATTCCATTCCCTTGTCAATCAGATGAGGGTATCCATGGAAGGGGGAATGCTAAGGAGGAAGAGGAGAACCGGTGTGAAGCAGATGCTGGTGACCTAAACTAAAACCAGTCGACATCCCTGACAATAGTCATCGAGAGGCAACTCGCTGGGCCAGTAACTGTCAAGGCAGGACAGGCAAAACTCAGATGTCAGCTGGCTGAGAGGGACAGAATTGACAAACAACCTTCAGGTTTCTGAACAACTTATAGGGAAAGTTATAATATCAACCCTCAGATCAAGACTAAAAGGATTGCAATTGACAAAGAAGGAGCTCAGTTTGGAACGTGCTAATGCTGAGATGTTTAATAAACACACAGTGAGGATTTCAAAAAGAAGTTGCTTGTTTTTTAATCACTTATTTATGGCCAAGGTCTCACTATATAGCATGATCCTCCTGCCTCAGCCCCAGAATTCTGGGATTACAGGTGTTTGCCAGTATGCCTTGCCCAAGTTGTTTATGTGGCCTGCAGACTATGACTGACGAGGTGTCTGAATGGACAGAAATACCTAAGGAGATTCTGTACAACAGGAAGAAAAGGGAACATGATTAGAACTCTAGAAAACAGCACAAGAGTATGAAGTCAATCAGAGCACCCAAAGACTACAGAGGGTGATGACAGGGAGTAGTCAGAAGTAGGAAACTGATAGAGAGTGGTGGGTTACAGAAACCAAGAAACAGAGTATTTCAATAAGACTAATGAGACCATTCAACAACATAGTTAACCCAGTAGACAGAGTTTTTCATTGGGACCACCAGCTCCCAAATAAACACAGAGACTTACTATTAATTATAAACGCTTGGGTGATAGCTTAGGCTTATTACTAACTAGCTTTCTCATCTTAAATTAACCCATATTCCTTATCTGCACTCTACCAGTAGTACCTTTTCTCAGCCCAGCATGTTCACCTCCTGCTTCCTCTGGGTCTGGCTGATGACTCCTTTGATTCGCTCGTCTTCCTCACATCCTCTCTGCCCCCAAATTGGCCACTCAGCATTTTATTAAACCAATTAGAAGGCATCTTGGCAAAGACACATCTGTTACGAGCACTTTCCCACCAGCTTGGTCCCACACCACATCAGTCCCAAAATAACACACAGAGACACTGTATTAATTATGAAACTGTTGACTGGTTACTAGTGTTTCCTATTGGCTAGCTCTGTCTTAAATATTAATCCATAATAACTAATATATGTATTTCTACATGGTCTTATCTTACCGAGAACGCCAGACTGGAGTCCTCTCTTCCTGAGATCAAATCGTGACTCTCTCTCTTTCCCAGAATCCTCCAACTCTCCTAGTTCCACCTATCTTGCTTTCCTATAGGCAAACAAGGCTTTATTCATTAACCAATGAGAGAAACATATTTACAGGATGACATCTCCCATCACACATCTTCACAGTGTACAAAAA